AATATGAAGCCTTGATTCTTGGGTTGGTGTTAGCCATCTATATGAATATAAAACAGATCAAGGTCTATGGCGACTCACAACTCATCATTAGCCAGGTGTTGGGAACCTATAAAGCTCTTAAACCATATCTCTTAACATACCATAAGAGAGTGATGACATTGCTAGAGCCCATCCCCGACGTTACATTGGTCAAGGTACCTCGTTCCTTGAACAACAATTCTGATGCTCTCTCTAGGCTAGATAAGGAACTTTCCAATCCTACTGGAGACCCACATAACAGTTGTGATCCAAGATCAAAGAGTCCTATCACCAGAATGTCTTGAGCCTTCAGGAGCGACACCTTTAGGTAGTGAAGGAGCAGTCTTCTCTGCTTCTGATTAGCCACGTGTTGATTAGCGTCAAGCTACCATCTCGAACTTGATAAGAGGAATAATCCCCGACAACCGCTCTCTTGTCACCAAATTCAGAAGAGAGCATTGTCATATACCATCTTGAATGGTACCCTTTATCTAAACTAGTTTGATAAAATGTTGTTGCGATGTTTTGGGAAGAATGAGATATAAAAGATCTTGACAGTGGTCCATGAAGGTCTATGTGGATCCCATCAGTCGGGTCACAAAATGAAAGTCAAGATTAAGGGGCTTGGATATAACTAGCCTTCGATGTCCCTTGATTGCATAGATTATGTAAAGCAGTGTCATCATTATCAGGTCTTTAGCCCAATACCTCACTAACACCAAATGCACTACATCGACAGTAGCATCCTGACCCTTTGAGGCCTAGGGAACCGATATCGTATGGCTCATTAACCCTCTATCCTTTAAGGGGCATCGTTTCATACATCCACTATTTATTTTTTCAAGTTGGCGCAAGCCGTTCGCATGAACTACTGTGCGAGATGGTGGGATTCGTCGAAGGCTGATCTGATGGTGGCAGCAGCCCACATATGTTCACAGGATCTCGATCTGATGGTGAAATTTTGTGAACTTTCATGCAATATGCATGAAAAGACGATTCAACTGTCGATTTGAGCTGGATTGGATGGTGGCAAGGTAAGTGGGTTGGACCCAAATTCACTCTTTTTTGGACATTGACATTGTTTGGCCCTTTAGGGTTTATAAAAGAGTTAAAATGTGAAAGAAAAATTGGAGTCTCCTCACCATGCATTCCAAAGAGTATTCTTTGTGGAGAAAGATCAAAGTCTCCCCACCACGCATTTTGGAGGGGATTCTTCATGAAGGAAGGTTAGAGTCTCATCACAATGCATTCTAACAGACACGTCAAAGGAGATTCTTCGTGAAGAAAAGTTGAAGTCTCTCCACTGTACATTTCAGAGGGGATTCTTCATGAAGAAAGATTGGAGTTGCTCCATCGCACATTTCTGAGAAAACTCTTCGTGAAGAAAAGTTCGAGTCTCTCGACATTCATTTTGAATGGCATTGTTTGTGGAGAAATATTGGAGTCTTCTTGTTGTGCATTCCAGATAAGATTTTTTTGTGAAAAGAGTTAGAGTTTGCCCGCTGCGCATTTTGGAGGGAACTCTTTTTGAAGAAAAAAAAAGTCTACCCATCGCACATTTTGTAGGGGGTCCTTCGTGAAGAAAAGTCTGAGTTTCCCTGTCGCACATTTCAGAGGGGATTTTTCTTGCTGCTAAGATGTTGACATCTAGAGGATCTCGTCCCCTTGAAAATCAACAGAAACAGCAATATTTTAGGAGGCAATGCTCACACCATATGAAGATGAGCAGACCCTTTCTTCGAGAGCATGGAAGATTGAACTTGTAAAGATCAACCATGTCCTTGATGGGCTCAAAAAGGTTTCTTCCTTGATCAGAATGCAGAAACTTTGCAGGCTTCAAGCAAGGATTTGGCTTTTGAGGAAGAGAATATGAATGTATAGACCTTCTAATGATGAAAAGGATGTTGTAGTGTGCCACTGTATTTTCTTCTGCGGACTTTTGTAGCCTTCATACTAGTGTGTGTTGGTCATTGTACTTTTTCAATCGTCTGATGTAGCATTTGTATGCAATGATGATATGTTTATCTATAAGTATTTCTCCTAAGTTGTGGTTGTGTCTCTTCTGGGATGATTTTACCCCACTTCTAGGTTATTGTTGATGCATTGGTCTCCATAGTAGGAGCATAGTTGCATAAAACTCTTCTCAAATGATGTTGACTCGTAAAAAATTCAATGACATAGTTCAGTTGATTGCAATCTTCTTTGACTTGAAAGCAAAGGAAGCACAACATGGAGGCAGTGAATGACATGTAGCCAAAAAAGAAGGGAGAGACAGTATGTGGAAACGAAATTACAGAAATTTCATGATTACGGTGATCAAGACTATCCTCTTTTTAAAGATAGAGGTAGCACAATATTTCCCTTATAATCAAAAGTAGTATGGCCTAAAGTCAGTGCATTAAGTAGCATGGAAAGAAAGAGCATAAGTGCAATTATGAGCAATGTAAATGATCCTAGAGCCATAGGTGCAATTAAGAATGTTCGAGAAGAATCCAATATGGGTGTTTGAGAAGAAACCAATATCACTATTTTAACTAAAAAATAATGAAACACTGTTTTCGTGCATATGGATGCTAGTATGCATGTAAAAATTAAACTTTAAATGTTACAAATGGAAATACAAAGGAATTGAGTGGTATGTTTGTAAATCTTCTTTTAAAAAAAAATATTATGGCACAATCAAATAAATAAATAAATAAAATTAATTTGTTACTTCATTAAAATCTTTTGATAATATCGTGCTTATCTTATATTGTTATGTGAAGTTGAAAAATTTCTGATAAGAAAGCAGACGTATGTATATTTAAATAAATTAACATACATTATTTTATTAATTGTGACGTAGTTTAAGTAAATAATTGTCATTTAGCATCAATTAATTTTATTTAAGCACTTATAAAAATATATAATATTTAATTTTACTTTATTCAATATCTTTAATAT